GTGGCGAATTCAGCCCGGTACTGTACAGGCGGTCGGGCCCAAGTCCATCTGGCCCGGCACCGGCTCGACCCCGCCAGACCTCGTTCCGCCCGGCGTCGGCCGAGCGACCGCTCCCGCCGGAGCCGACGACCGACGATACCCGCCGGCAGCGGCGAGACGCTGCGTCGGAGCCGACGCGCGCGTCGCCGCCGACCGTCTCGGTAAATTTGGCGCGCGCGCCGCGGCAACAGGTAGCTCAGAATCAATGCCCGGCTTACCTTGCCAGCGATCGATGCACGCGCGCCACGGGTGGAGGCCGAGGTTCACCCCGCCGTAAGGTCATCGCCAGAGCAGGGGTGAGACTCGCTGTGGCGTATGGTTATCTCCGGGGCAGGGGCGAGACTCGCTGTGGCGTAAGGTCATCTTCAGGGCAGGGGTGAGACTTGCTGTGGCGTAAGGTTATCTCCGGGCAGGGGCGAGACTCAGCGACGTAAGGTCACCGCCAGGGGGAGGCGCAAGGCTGACTCCGACGCAAGGTCACCGCCAGACGGTAAGACTGATTTCGATGTCAGGTTATCGCCAGGGAAGGGAGAGGGTGGTCACTACGCATAAGGAAGACCGACGACGCCAGAGCTAGCGGCGTGACTCATTCCGGTGCAGCATTGCCGTCAGGGCGGAGGGGCAGGGTCCACTTCAAGGAGACATCCCGCTAGGATAGCTGCACATGGTCGTGATCCATACCCTCACATTGATCACTTTTTGCCGCGAAAAGTTTTTAGTTAGAAAACCAAGGAGCATAAGAGCAGCCACGAAGCCTGAGCCCAAGTTTAAATCGACGATTACGATTAAATACCGTGCATGAAATGTAAACTCTCGATTGTACATTATCTTTGCCTTAGGAAAAAAATCCAAAAAGAGCAGTGGCACACTCAGATGGGCAAGAAACGAAGTGAGGACGCAGTTTTTGCCTGAAAAAACAAAGCTCTCAGAGCTGCTGCATTCTTTTGCAATTACGACGCTGGAACCGATCCCACTTGAACAACTTCCGGCCTATCTCTATCCTGTGTGATTGTTTAAAAAAAGAACACGGAAAAGGCTGCCTCTACGCCATTTATGTCGTGCTTACAGGAAACTCTAGACTGCCTCGATATCGATATGCTTACCGAATGAGTCCCTCTATGGAGGACGCCCTGACAGGTGCTGTCAAGTGGAGCGCAGAATTTGCTGGCGCGGGTGAAATAACGTTGACAACGCTCGACTTGAGCAAAGCTCTCGACAGCGCTGATCATGACATCCGTCTGCACAAGCTAGAATGGAACGGCGTGTGCTCTGACTATTTCCGTAAGTACCTGCGAGACCGAAAGCAGATGATGGCTAGCACCCCTGGCCTAATTCTTCCCTTGATCCGAGGCGTCGCCCAGGGCTCCACAGGTGGATCTATCTCCATTCTTATCTCGATCAACGACCTGTCATCTTTCCTTCCCTATGGCCGGCTCCTGCCCCATGATACCGACACTCAACTCCTGGACCACCCTCCCGATGCCATCCGCTTATTCTACCCGAAGGCCCGTGCCGAGGAGTCTACCCTATACCTTTAACATTGAATTTCAGTCGAACGGTCTCAAAACACACCCTGACAAAGGCGTATTCCATCACTTTTGACGCTAAATATTTCGCTGGAAAGGCATCCTGCCTCTACATCACCCTATCAGGCCTACATAACCCACCATGTCCCACCTTGAAGGTCCTGGCCATACTCCTGGACCAAGGACCGACCTAGGAACCCATATATCGGTGGTGATTCGCAAATGTAGCACTATCCTTCTGGCCCTCTACAAAATTCGCCACAATTTCATACCCAAAGTGCTTGAGCTCAAGGTATAGGTTCACATTGTTCATACATATTGTATTGTCTCCCTATTTTCCCTATTTGGGGCGTGACCGCCCAAAACCACCTGTCACGAATTCAGAAAGCTACCAACTTTGCAGCGAGCCTTCTCACTGCGGTACGGCCCTGCGAATCTATCTCACCAGCCCTCAGTTCGTTAGCGCGGCTGTGTGCGACGGAAATGGTGCAACAGTGATATTGCCCCAAAGCGTTCTGGATGAACGGGACCGTCCGCCAGCCCCCAGATCCCCCTTCGTCAGACGATCCGGTTATCCCAGAAGGAAGCGGGGGCGGTCACTGCGGGGGAAATGCCGTGTTGGAGAGCTGTCGCTTGTCAGCCACACGGAGTACCTTCTCTATCGGGCCGCACGTGCCTGGAATTCCTTCCCGAATGCGATTACCGAGGTGTGGAGTCGGCAGGCGTTGCCTGCGTGCCGTGGATGAACCGGCATAAGTGACAGGCGGATGACCGTGCTGTATTTTGCATACATCGTGGCCGTGACCGTATTTATTGCGCAGGCGTCAATGACTGTTACATTAACCTACAACTTGGTGCTGATTAGCTTCATAATATATGATGAACATGTGGATGAATCCCAAAGAAATGAACATGAACATGACTATAGTGAGCTCAAAGGCATATAACAGCTATATTGAGTCATCGCCGAATGGAATATATTTGGAACATCTGCAATTATGGTGTTGCGCAAAATGTCAAAACGGACACCGGTGGGTGCAGGATAAACGAAGTGTGTGTGTGTGGGGGGGGGGGGGGGCGGGAAGGGAGGATGCGTATGTGGTGCGGTCTTGAGATGAGTGAAGGTTGCAAAACAAATGCCGCTCTTCTTTCTCAAATTACATAGCGCTATTCTTGCGTCTTGCACCACTGTTGCGATTTGGCGCATCCCACCTAACAAGATTTAATTCCTGCTGCGATGTCATGGCCGCTGACTGCTAATGGGTTAGGTGCTCAAATTCGTTTGTATCATGACATATCCCCCCCCCCCCATCAAATGTGTATGTGGAGCTACCCACGCCGGCTCATTTATCTGACTCTGCAATATCTGCCTAGGCACTAGAGTACTGGACTCTCAGCAGAAGCAGGCAACAGGCCAATACAACCCCTAAAAAGGACCACGATTTGTCCTGACGTGCCTGAAGCAATTTCGAAGAGCTTAAGCGTCGCTGTCCAATAAAGGGCATGGTCGCGTCCCTGTTTGTGCCTCTGTGATAGAAGCATTCAAGGGATAGTGCCGTCTTTGCCGCATATTGCAAAAACATACACTGGTAAAGCCTAAGCACCATTTATGTCTAGCAAAATGTGTCAACGGTAGCGGCACTGTTACATGCCACTGCGGCACGACCATAACTATCGAGTTTAAATTACTCGGCCAACGTTTTGACACCGCTCTATATGTTTGCGTTTTTTGCGGCCCAGATTTCAGTTCTGGAATGGGCGATTGTGACGCGTAAAAATGATTCATGGGGTAAGCATTATAAGTAGCCTCCGCAACTGTGCGCAGATATATCAAGTCGATCGCGTTGAAATTGCCATTAGAACTGGCGTGGCAAACAGAAAAAAGTAAAAGTGCTCGCTGAGCCAAGTGTCGTCATGCTCATGTTGGTCCCTTTCTCATTGTGTTCTTGCACAGTTATTCGTGAGTTGAGCATGTTTACTTATATTCACAGGCTGGGTTATTGCGCTATTGTTAAATCACTCTATTACAAATTTTACACGCGTAATGCCTAGCAACTATATCAAATTTATTTTATTATGTAGCAGAGAATGTGCTTTGTGATGGAAACTAGCAGAGCTTGCCCAACATCCATTAAGAGTCAATTGACGTCCACTTTATTTGGAAGTCACGCCCACGGACGTCAGATCGAACGGTTTTTATATTTATACTTGCCTTGAGCACCGCATGGCGTTCGGGAAGCAGAATTTGAATAGTGTATGGCTTAATAATGCTGTGGCTAATAAATAATGCTATGGTTTTTTTGAGTGCATCAATCAATTTGAAATAGTCTGCACGAAAAAGTCTGCACGCATTCCCGTATGTCTAGCTCAGAAACTGGGAGGCTTTAGGCCCCAAGAAGGGTAGGGCAGTGGCTGCATCGCATGATCTTAAAAATGGCTTTTTCAGTTCAAACCTCACACAAATTTGGAATACTTCTTTTAGGTGCTGGTGCACCAGGCGCTCAAACGCACCATTATCAAAATCACCGTACATCATCAATATCACTATAACATTGGCTTCAACTTGACAGTCATGCCCCGACATCAAAGCATGTTTGGAGCCGACTAACGTTGTTTTATTTGAATTTAGACATCAAACGAATAACAGTGGCCGAATCAGGAGGGAAAGCAGGATTTGAGTTAAGTTGGTCAACTTTACACGCCCAGCCCTCCGACCGCTTTTAGAAAGTGATGGCACTTTGCCGCAGTATGACGCATGGTGGAGTTCGCTTGATGCCGACCTCATGTTTGCGTATCTGTTTTCGTGACAAGAGTAGCTAAAGCTCACAGACTATTTATTTCACACCCATTTTGGTCAAGCATTGCCTTGCGAACATAACACAGGACACATGTTTGGAAAAGCAATAGTGATAAGCACGAGGACAGGCGGCATTTCCCCATCGGAGTGGAGTTTGATATATGCAGAACACATCAAACTCCGCAGACGAACGTGGTCACTACGCATGTAACGGTGTTGGTGCAGTGGTCATTTCATGAAAACGGATATTACCGACCAAATCAGACCTGTCGGGTCTTATTTTGCGTGATAACTACAAAAAGGTGGCACACTCCTTTTAATGCTTCTGTAGAACGCGCGTTATAAGTACACATTATGCGCATTAACAGAAAATCGGCCTCTGTTGAATGATGTGGTGGATGGGAGATCCTCGTTGGCAGGCAAACATATTTTTATACATTTGTGGACATGGGGGCTCGTAATGAAGCTCAATCCCATCTCCGGTGCTCTCCGCTGCAGTCTGTCGTTTGCTGTTAAGCCGCTCTACCCGTTTGTAACCCGGCCATTTCGAACCGGCAGTCGTGTACCCAGCTCAAACTCAAAGCAGAAGCGTGACGGACAACGCATGCTTGAGGGTGGCCTGGCCTTTGAACTTGGCCCTCGCGCATGCGGCGTCTACATCAGCAGGGACACCTGACAGGGACAGGGGGTTCCCTGCGATCCCCCTCGCCGCGACCCCAACTGCTTAAGCCGAGATAAGACAATGATGTGCTGTAAAACGGCCTTTGCGATTCTAGGCAACTTTTACAGCGTGCCGAACTTTCTTAACCCCTTTATTATTCATTATTGCATATTCAAGTCTCACAAGATATTATAATTGCATTACTGCCGTCCAAAGTTAAAACCCCAAATATGTTCATTTCTCGCCATGTTGCGCTTTTTATGTCATCTTATTTATCTTGTCATGCTGAATTCAGATACTGAAACCAATGGCTCAAATTTGCACATGCTTTCAGCTAAAAGAATGGGCTAAAAGCTTGTGAAAATTTGAGCTGATGATTTTGATGACCAAATTCAGCATGCGTGGACGAATCAGAGAACATCAAAAACGCAAAACGACCAAAAGTTAACATATGGGGTTTTACCTTTGGAAGACGGATAAACGTTCCCTGGGTACGTGCAACATTTGAACATGGAACCACTATGCAACATTTCACTTAGCCAGCACTAATCCCTATGCAGCAAGCGAAAATGTTCAAACGAGAACCGCGGACCCGTTCCTGAGTGGAAGCGTTGGATGCTGGAGGGCCTCCACGACTGACCTTGGCGAACGAACACCTGGTTGACGTCCAGCAGGATGTCGCAGCCCTCCACGATCATCCGTTCGATCGCGAGGTTCTTCCGGATGTTCTCCGTTTCGCTGACCTGGGACCAAAACCGGTGGATGAATGTACGCCAGAGGGTGTCTGATCGGGATATCGAATTGTGATCTCATGGAGACTGCAGAGTATTCAATTGCGTAAGTCGATAAGCCATTTTGCGTATGAAATATGCATTTGATGTTGATAAGGCGATTGGTCACGATATGTTTTGTTCAAAGAACATCATTTTTAACTTGAAACTCAAACATGGTTAAATACCTCTACAAACCGGGTTCAGTACTTCGGTTCACAATGTCATAAAGTCAACAAGCACTTGAACACAATATCACACTCTAGCGATGTATAACATATCGTGTTTACACGCCAGAATTCTTCCACTTACGCATTAAATGAGACGATTCGTTTAAATACGAAAAAACACAAAACATAAAAGGAAATATTTACTCTTCAACTGGCTACGGAAAGAATCAGTGTAGTGTTGAGTGTTCGGTGTATTTGATATAATATGGGACAAGGGAAAGGTACCCAAACGTTAGTTTTATCCTTCTTGTTTTCATCATAGCCTTTCTCTAGCTTGAATTTGTCATGCAGTTGTTCTCGATTTTCAGCAATGGTTGAGGTGTTTGATTGCAAAGCATTAATAATAATTAAATTTTTGCGTCTGTGTTTTTCGAAAATGAAAATCTAGACGTTGGGAAACCACTCCTTAGACATCGATGCAAGCATGAAAAACATAAACACTGACGACCTACCACCAGCCATTTTCCGGATCACGTGTGATAGAACCAGGACAAGGGTGGTGCCTTGTGTTTCCTGTCTCCTCTCCTGTCAATCTGATATCTTCCCTGCCCCGAACCATGCGGATATATGCATATGATTACATATATATATATATATATATATATATATATATATATATATATATATATATATATATATATATATATGCATATATATACATATATACATATATATATGCATATATATATATAATATATATATATATATATATATATATATATATATATATATATATATATATATATATATATATATATATATATATATATATATATATATATATATATTGTGTGTGTGTGTGTGTGTGTGTGTACGCGCGCGCGTGTGTGCGTGCGTACGTGTGTGTGTGTGTGTGTGTGTGTGTGTATGTGTGTGTGTGTATGTGGTGTGTGTGTGTGTGTGTGTGTGTGTGTGTGTATGAGTGAGTGTGTGCGTGTGTGAAATATATGACACTTGAAAAATGCCTTCCTTAATTATAATTATAGCATATCTGCCACCGCGTTCCTTTGTTTCTACGAGGATCTCTAACTTTTGAAGACATATAGTCAAGTATTTAACAAATCAAGGGTCAAAGGCCTCAGGGGATTTTTTCAGCTCGTTGCATCAGTAGAGCTCAGTTTCCAATCGCCAACTAAAGCTCTTACGATTTCAAATTTCCCAGATTTGAAGACATCGCCCGTGACGTCCCTACACCCTGTCTTTCTCCTTGCATAATGTTCCCTCAAGCCTTGAGAGCCGGCTGCGGCCGGCCACTGGTGCGGCTTTCCCTCAACCCAAATTACTATCGCCCTTAATGCGGTCACTGTGCTTCCTTGACTTATGTGGCGTCCTACCACTGATATGAGGCACGTTTTTATTACAACTGCGTGTGGTAATTTTTGGTGACCTGAGGCTACAGACAATATAATGGTTCCCGAGAGTGTTGAATGGCCCACTCGTGGACCACTGAGACGCGTCTCTGAAAAGACCACTGTTTGAGGAGCCCTTAAATCCACGTGAGAATATGCCATGTTCGTTTGTGGATGGGCACTGCTCTATTGTTAAAGTCAGCAATAGGAGTAAAGTCACCCTCAAGTGCGTTGTTCTTGACACGCGCCCGGGTGGCCAGCTGAATACCCTTGCTCAGGTGGGGGTTAATTTGACCCCACTGAGATCTCAAAAACTACGGTAGCTAGACACGCCAAGTTCACAGGGTAGATTGACCTATACGTGAACTCACTTCTGACAGAGTTTGAGGTTCCTAGGTCATGACCGTGGGGCCAAATAGGTTCAAACAAGGTCAAACTCCAGGTTGGTATCTCATGTCCCCCAGACCTTCTCATGCAACCGCCGTGAAGCCAGATACCTGTTCTAAGCAAAAAGCCAACAAATTCATTGACCTTGTTCGACCTTTATAAAGTTAAGATGACCTCATATCTACGAGATTGCTAATATTTTGCCTTTCGAATAAGCTTCAGGGATCACGCTGGGCGGTGTGTTCCACAAACACAAAATGCTGACTTGGGTTATTTTAAGGTCAACGACCTACTCGGCCCTTTAAAAAGCTTATGCAACATGTCTGTTGCGGTCCCTGTCATAAATAAATTTTAGAGGAGAACCAGAAATTAATCCATAAACCAAGCTTTCGAGTTAAAAGCGGGTAAGTTTTGACCTCATTTTGACCTTTGTACCCGACCGTAGATCAATGAAATTTGTTTTAATTCTGAACTATATTGGCTTATTGCCTCAACAACTATTTCATGTATGTATAACTTCGCCTAACACTCCGTTGTTGCATCGCATTAAACGATTCCCACTTCTTCCTCTCACCCGAGTTCGCGACAACAGCGGCTGTCGCGACCGCCATCGTCAAGACAGCCGCCGTCGTCTTGACGACGGCAGAATCTGCTGGGGGACTGGGGTCGCTGTCAGCTGTTACGGCTTAGAGGTGCTACTTTTGAGCTGTTTAACCCACCCATTATGGGCCTGCAGGCTTACAAGTGGCACTTTTGTTGGGATGCATGATGTCAGTATAAATGAACGTTTGTGAAGAGCACAGCGGGCAGCAAGTGCCAGCTACCGAGAAACGCATTGGCTGAAGTTTGGGCCAGTGCATCACTATGGACCACGTGATATTTCGTTTCCCAAAGCCAAAGCGCGCATCGAAAACAGACCCTGTGCTAAATGTCATAAGGGAGAAATGAAAGCAATAGCATAACATTTTGTTGAGCTCGCGGGACAATAGCTTCATGTTTGCTTATATTGTCCCCTAAAAAAGCGTGTCTCCAGCTTTCGTAGCATTAGTGACGCCAGCATTTTGACAAATTAGTGCGTTGCAAATGTTACTGAATACACACGCTGGAAAAAGCAAGACAAATGAAATGCATTACTAGCATAGTGTTGGGCACGCGGACTAATGAGCTTCTTCCACGGTAGTGTCTACTTTAAATAAAAATTCTTGACTATGCAGAAGGATGTAAAAAAACTAGCATCACCGATCAAAGCGGACACGATTGATCAAACAAATGAAAAGTACAAAAAACTGGCATACTCTCTGCAAAACCGAGTAACAACAGCTATTTCTCGTATTGTTCGATCTCGTCGTACATGTGTCATGTCATTGGGGCTTTACGACGCACTCAGCTGCTGAGGCTATATGGCCTGCGTCGCCTGCCTCTCACCCTGGCAGGGAGGGCGGGCAACAGATCTTGTTGTACAGGATATAGGAGCGACACCGAGCAAGGTCTGCTGAAAGCATACTTAATCGTCTTAAATCGACTTACAAATAGGGCGTTTTGCACGTAGATTGAAAGCTTATGTTCAGGGCCTGGGCTTAATTTTACCAACAAAACCAAAGCAAATGAAAGAACCAAAAGCAAGACTATCAATCGTACTGCCCAATACACGGACCATCAATTATTCCGGCACGCTATTTTCTCCGTAATTGCTGCGTTAACTGCAAATCACCATGTTTTCAGACGCACGAAGCGTGCGGAGTGGGCAGCGTTCCCCGGCCCAGAGCCGGCCGGCGGCGGCAGCAGCGACGGCGGCGGCTGCGCCTCACCTCGTCGTGCATCTGCCTGCTGAGCTGCTCGAGCTGTTTGCGCGCCTCGTCCAGCGAGCGACGCTCCACGTGGTTGTGGGGCGTGTGGGCCAGCAGCTCGTGCAGCGTGATGATGTAGCGCGGGATCTGCAGGGAGAATGGGGAGACACGGAGGTCATGCGAGCTGCGCTGCTGGGGTGGTGAGTTGCCACGAGCGTGGCTCAGTCATGTCGGGCGCGGAAGCAACCAGTGAGGGAGGAAGTTGGAGCGGACCACGCCCCCCACCCTCAGTTCCCCGAAATCGCTTCTGTTGTCTCCCATTTCCATGTGGAATGCACGTGTTACTGTTTTAAAATTCATTCATATTTTTCACTCTTATTTACATTTTCGGGTTAGGTTGGCACCCTGATTCCAGCCTGACCACTGCAATCCTGATTCCTCCAATCTGAATGACACGGTTGTACCCATAATGCGGCAGTGAACAGACTTCCAAAAATGGATGACTATGTAACATTTGGAGTGTTTAAGTTGCCATTTGAATTAACCCATTCAGTGCGAGGCGGAATGAATCTAAGAGAGGGCCATGCCCCAAAGCCTCATCCGTGCCGTTTTTGACAGCAGTGGCAGGGGACGTTGCCTCACTGGGCCTAATGCGAGACATACTTGACGCACGGACGTCGACGCATTTGAAAACACGCACTCTCATTTCCGCTCTCGTACACACTCACAGATGCACCTTCAAGCGTATGCACACGCGTGCGAGAAAAGATATTCCACGCTAGCACGCAAAATCCCTACAAACGCTAAAAGGAACGTACCTGGTGCATGGGGTAGGTCAGGAACGTCTCCAGCGTGCGCCCCTGGCAGTTCGACTTGTTCTCCAGTCGACTGAGGAATGTGGAAAATTGAGCGTTCTGCTTGCATTCCGTCAGAACCTGCAAAATCGGGAGTGACCATTTCAACATTTAAAAAATGCCTTCAAACTAAACATGCGACTCATTCCAAAATATCGGCCCACAGCCCGGCCGCCCCGGCCAGCTGGTGACGCAGCCCGCAAAATCCCGCTATGCTACAATGCTAACCCGGGAAGACCCACAAGGTCTCAGTTAATTACAATCGGAATTTTGTAATTTCTCTTTAGTTTTATCCTCGCGCACAAATCAGGAATAATGAGAAGGAAGGGGATGTCATTTACAATAGCCATCACCAAAACGTGCCCGAGTTTTCACCCTTCTATACATCATCTCAAAAGACTACGGGTCATATCTTCTAAAATTGCAGGCATCAGGACTGCATCAAAGTTGCAGGATGGATTTGCACTGAAAGAGCAAACTGCTGGATTATTTAAGTCATGAAAAGTCTCCTGAGCTCATGACGCTGCGCATCAACACAAACACCATTGGAATGCGCTGCAATCTCCGCAGCGCCATACACCGCATTCAATAATTAGACGCAGGCCGCTATATGGTATTTGTTGTCTTTTAGTGCGTGCATCGTGCAACAACGCGGAATATATACCACTTGATAGCATTAAAATGGTTCACATTTTCCGCTCACCACCACCCATCCTCCATCGCACAACCACCTAACGCACAAGCACGGGTGGCAATAACGTTTTGTCCACGAATATTTGGCACTCAAGTGACATCACTTATGCATATCAATGCCAATAAAACGTGATATATTATTAAATGCTGCTGCAAAATTCATATGACAAAGAATTGCAACAGGTACGCCCAGGATCTCTTTCCACAATTCACCAAGCCTTCTGAATGCGACTTTTTACATTCATCGAATGTTTCACTGCTGACATGTGTTGAACTGGAATTTTTGACGCCGACCTGTATGGATATACAGATATTAGAAGATATGGAACAAGAAACAGATGAGAAGCATCAATGAGACACAAATGTTGGAAATAAATGACATTCGTGGGAAGAGTGAAGCGTACCAAATGTAAAAACCCTTGTTATCGAGGTCATAAATTGTGTGTTCTTAGGCATAAAAAGGCAAACTTCATGTTACCACTTTTTTCAGTTTCAAAAACTGTTGCGCGTGCCGTATATCAGTAACTGTGAGCTGCATTGACAAGTGGATGAGGCTAGGACACTGCGAGACACACAGTTTCCCATTCATTTCATTTATCAACGGAATGGATTGTGAGATAGGGCTTTGATATGATACAAGACAAATTGAGTGCACCCAGATGCACCCACAATAACAGCCAAGTGCAGTGTGTGGCTGTTTTTATATTAAGGACCTGACCTGACCTGACCTCTGCTCAATACAACCAGGCCGCAGTTTAAATATTTTGGCCGTTGTTCTTGAGTTATTTTCATTGAGATGTTTGCTTAACGCTATAAAATATGGCAGCCTGGTTCACTGGCGTGTCAAGCCTGCCATGGGTTTTCTATCGCTGATTCTTTTGCTGTAATAGTGAAAACATAGCTGTTTTATGACTGTATTGTCTATGGCAACACACACTAGTGTTTGGATGACTTAGAAAACTTAAGAAATAGTCAGAAATGCATTGTTTTTATGACAAAGGTTTTCACCCGCAGAGACACACCCCGCTTGGCCCACAACCCGGCCAAAAAAACCGGGTTCTTGCGGGTCACATGTTGGCATGCTGGCCAGTTAAAAAGTTGCCTCTCCACTCATAACTAGCTGAAGCTGACTGAAAGGATGTCACGACATCGGTGAAAGGATATCACTACATCGGTGACACGGCAAACACTTCTACCGACAGGAGTGTTACGACATCAGTTACACGGACATTACTTCAACTGCAAAAACTTTTAAAGACTTCCCTTATTCGCAACATTTCTTCTACTCCAAATACCTATACACGACACGAGTGCTACAAGACACAACTTGTGCTGTTAAAGCTTATACCCGTTATTGCTTATACAGCAAAGACTTAACACGTGCCCGGGTCGCGGGTTAAATAACTTTTGCTGGAGAGGGAGTCAATTCGACCCTCCTGAGATCTCGGGAGATAAGAAAGCTATTGCAAAATTTTAAGGGTATTTTGGCCTGTACGTGAATTCACTATCAAACTAGATAAATCTAAAGATTAGTGTCCAAAGTGTCCCCAGACCATCTCATGCAACCACTGTGAGCCTAGACACCTGTTCTAAGGAAAAGGTCACTGGTGCTCATTTAAGGTCAGTGACCTTGTTTGACTTTTGCAATGTTGACCAAAATGTTGACCATAATCATGTTAACCATCACGTTGACCGAAATCATACAAGGCTGCTTTGATTTTGGTATTTGAATGGGGGTCAAAATTTACGGTAGGCAGTATGTTCCTGAAACAATATGTTGGTCTGGGTGAATTTAAATGAGTGACCTATTATGACCTTTAAAGAATCCATGGAATATTACAAAACGATCCTGTTATCAATAAATCCGAAAAGAGCGCCAGAGACTACTCCATACACCAATATCTATGGTAATGAAACAAATTGGGTTCGAGTTTGGCCTGACCTTCATATCTCGCCCTGGGTCAATGAGAGTTGTTAAGTCAGTTATTGTGCCGCCTGTAAAACTATTTCAGAGACGTGTAGCTTCGTCTAACGCTTCGTTATTGCGCCAGATTGAACGATTTCCTAAAAATTGTCTTCGCTGAATCCATGGTCTGACTTTGACCTGCTGTACGTCAGCGACCTTACAAGATGAATCTAAATTTGTGATATCAAGTTATCTCTCTTTCAATTGTCTACGACAATGCAAAATGTTGCCGCGGCTATGCCGCGCCGTCCGGATATCATTCTGGAAAAACCTTTCAGTTGGGTCGGATTGATCTCTCACCCGAGCGTGTGGTTAGTCTTCTTATACACGCTTTGCGTCTACTGCAACGAGTTATATGTGACATCAGCGCTGCACATTAAAGCTTGAAAAGTAACAAAAGCCTCACTAAAAAGGGCGTTTGTCCGTCATTATGTCTGTTGTAACAAACCTACAAAGTCTTTACTTATCAGTAATATGACTCAATCGGACAATACTTTGTGTGGCATTCGTGCTATACGATACCGGCCATAATCCACAAATAATGGATGTCAGTACCCTAGTTAATGGCTTAAGCCTCACCAAAATCTTAAAGGGAAAAGGCTCACGGGAGCGCCTGACTGGGAGACATCAGACTCCATGGTTTCGAAACATTATTGCTGCTGTAGATATTGCGATCGACAGACCCATCACGACAACAGCTTTATGCGAAATTTGTGTTTTGAAAAATTATGGTGAATTGCCGTATTGTTGCAAATTAAGTTTGGGGGCTAAGCAGGGGAAAACGGTCAAACCTGCTCAAAAATACATAAAGAACGGCGTTTGTTTCGAAAGTGACAAGTCTTCCGTCATAGATGAGGAATGGATTGGGTCCCCAACTGAATTCAAAGCTACATCCCGGGCTTGGAGTACGCTTAAAAGCGACATGACTTCTAATACAATGGTTTATATAAGTATCTAGTGATACACGACAAACTAATTGGTGCTTCCAAAATGTACGCCCTTCATTGAGATTTTGCTACCCAAACTGCAGCCTTTCACGTAACAGAAGGTAAGATCACTTGTCGTATCACCACCCTAAACATTTAATTGCAATATTGCCAACCTGGAGTTCCCTCCTAACATCTGAACTGTTCCTGCGCCCCTGCTGAATATACATTCACTGCACCCCATGGCAGCAAAAATATTATATGTATGTATTGGAAGTAAAAATACTTTAACGTTTACGTGAACGCTGTAATTTTCTTTTTGTGGTAGAATTAATAGCAGAGAGAGAGAGAGAGAGAGAGAGAGAGAGAGAGAGAGAGAGAGGAGAGAGGAGAGGAGAGAGAGAGGAGAGAGAGAGAGAGAGAGAGAGAGAGAGAGAGAGAAGAGAGAGAGAGAGAGAGAGAGAGAGAGAGAGAGAGAGAGAGAGAGAGAGAGAGAGAGATAGAGAGAGAGAGAGAGAGAGAGAGAGAGAGAGATGTATATATATATATATATATATATATATATATATATATCAATGAAGTAAAAGTTGTACCGTACAGCGCCAATGTCGCATACAAGTCTTTACAGTAGGGGCAATGTCGTGTATAAGCAAAGACTGAAAAGCTTTGGCGGTAGAGGTGATGGCGGGTATCGATTTTTGAAATATACAGTTTGGCATGTAGCACTTATGTCGTGTATAAGAACTGACAGAAGAAGCAATGTCGTCGCACTCCTGTAGGTAGTTTTTGTGGGGGAACTAATGTGGAACCGGGATGTCGCAGCTGGCTGGTTATACTGCGCCGCTAGATGCGAAATGCTTGCGGCGCAGTCTACCATTCGCTGGGTTCCATCGCCCATTGTCAACAAGGCGCCAACTTCATGGAATGGAACAAGGCGAGATATACCTAAAAACAGATTACCTGATTGTTGACAGGACGGGTGAGATGCATTTTATTTAGCATACTGCATCTCCTAAAACCTAACTTTCGTCGCTAACTCTCGCCTGGTGTTTTTGTCTGCGCCTGACTATTATGGATCACTCAGAGCAGCCGGTAAAACAATGGCGTCGTGTTTGGTAAGATTTCTGCGTCATAACATAATGCATAATGTTTTAGGCCTCTGTTTTGCGTGTTTCGTTCTTCACGCTGGCAGTATTGCAGCAGAACATGGGTGACACAAGAGTGGAACAACCATCCGGGCGAACGCTTCAGGGATATAACCGTTATGGAGTCCATGATCAAAGACGTGGCATTTTTGAATTACCTCAGACCCGAACAAACGGCCTAATAATTCATCCCGGCGCATCAACTATGTGTACGTGCTCAAGTGCATTTCCTTTCCAAGGTGATGAGATGTTGCTGGAAACCTGGTTCTAAAATCGCATCTCAACTGGGTAATATGCAAAGCAAAGGTCTGATCTCATTCAAATGGGCCAGCGTCCGAGTCTGTTAAGTTTTAAACGTGGTCGACACTGATGAGAATAAATTAATTATCACTGATTTGCATGACATCACCAGAAATACCCAGTTGTTGTAGAGCAATTTCCGAAAGGTTTTGACGTGATTTATGCTCTCCGACCGCTCCGTCACAACGGTTGCCGTTCCTTCATGACTCTGCGTTAGCAGTATTTAATGAAACACGTCTCGCGTCTCCACAACTTTTTCTCTTTAAATCTGGTTACCTTGAGATGGTTTTGATATCGTAAAATAACCGCTTATCATGGTGCATCCATATATCCAGTGTCATGGGTTAAGAGCTTAAAGGAAATGACATGCTCTGAAGTAAGCAATGAGAGGATGTCATATCTTGGTTACTGCAATGGACAATATCTTCCACGTATGGAACCTAGAACGTACAAATTGTTGTAAAATTGTGCAAAAATTAGTACGCATATAATATATAATGGTGAACAATGTCACAATGCAAAACAGAACTGAAATACATATCATAACATAACATCTACAAACAATTGTATTCATCTCTTATTCTCTTTGTTTCGTGCATTTTAGCGCATTAAGCCACTCTTCTTTGTATTTTTCTGGTTTACTTTTCTTTACCACATTTTTGTTTCAATATATTTTTTTGTTTTTGCTTTCATGTTGTCTGGGTACGGAATTAACAGCACAGCAAGCGGCGAATCGCCATTTTCCCTTGGTAAGCGCGGAGCACATCACCGCGTCGCATGTCTCGGGCGACGGACCGGCCAGCGGACTCGCCCGCTCTGTGCCTGGCATGCACGCACTGACCTGGAGACTGTAGTGATGGTTCCGAACATATTCCTGGTATATGCTCAGCATCGGTAGCAGCATGTCGAACAGGTCTCCTGGAGCGGTGACAAAACAGCTCAGGCGCGGCGGCAGAGCTCGAGTGCTCGAGTAGCAACTCCAAACCCATCCAGCAATGCAATGAATGGCCTACTCGGACACCTGGATGCACGCTTTACATCTGTACAAGACACAGTCGTTGAGACAGTAAAGTCGCAAATAATAAACGCAGTTTCATAGATGAGTTGACCTGGTTGATAGAGACCGCTTCTCCCAAAGGCACAGTGGTTTTGCCGTTTTTCGCCTTTACAACTTTTCCATGATGTAGGATCTATTGAGGCCGAAAGACACAATGGGGGCAGGGTTGAGGATCTTCTTAAGAAATACAAGTCTACATGTATGCCTGCAGTTTTGGCCGACACGCCGTTATTACATAGAAAAATGAACCATACTATCCGACCAACGTCACCTACACAACAGTAGCCTCAACCCACCGCTGACGTTGTCTAAACGTATTCCACCACCCGGTTAACGCCCAGGGACGCTCCCGCGTCCCACAAGGGGGCGTGCACAGCGCGGCCGTGCCCGCGCCGGCCCGCGCGGCTGCGGCGTATCCCGGACGGTGGCAGCCGGAGCTGGTCTGCAGCAATGGTGCCGGCCGCGCTGCTCGGCCGACGCCTGTCTCCGCTAACTACGTCCGTTATCAACAGCCAGCATGCCGCATGCAGTTCACGGAGACGCGCCGGCCGGCGGCGCGTGCGGCGGCCGGCGGCGGGCGGCCCTGTCGTGCGCCCCGGGCAGTGCCGGACGCGCCGTCGGGGCGGGGCCGGGGCCGGGTCGCAGGCCGTGGACTAACACAGCAGTGTGGGTGCTCTCCAGCGAGAGGTGGGAGTTAGGAGGGGTGCAACCTGTGGGCAGTTTTGGATGCAGGGATCCGATGCTTGGTGCTGTTGGGTGGTAGAATCGAGATGCATGACGGGTGAAGAGTGTATCGGTCCATTTTAGCCTGTTACGCGGCAATCGATGTAATTACATTCATGTTACAGCGCAAAGCTTATGCGATCATTCATACTTTGTCGACGTCAGTAAGACTAGATAAAATTATTTCTGCCATGGATTAGATTCGCAAGTATATTTGCTTTCACTTTATGCATACGGAGCAGGAGGACCTGCTTAAGTTTAACAGATAATTTGACACAGATTCTCTCGTGACAATGCATAACGCTACAACTCATTATGCCTGCGAATGAACAAAGTTTGAATGATTGGAACTGAATTAAGTATCTGGTGATGCCCGAGTCACGCCAAATGAAATTCTTCCTACCGGGGATTAGTTTCGTCTGGTATACTTACTTTTGAAATATCTTCTCGGAGCGGTAGGACCTGCTCACGTTTCATCAGAGCTTTTAACGCAGCTCTTCTCGTGATGATGTATTTTTGCTATTTGAGCTTAAGGCGCGTCGAGAGCCGCGGTCACTTGGCGCCCAAACTGTGGCTGTGTAGAACTATGTCGCGTTTTATCATATAAAGTTGCTGTTGTGGGCTTCCGAAGCGTGCCAAAAAAGAACAAGTTGTGTGAAACAAACGCCCGCAACACGCATTGTGCAAGGCATCCCACACGCAGCTCACGTAAGCTCGGTGCACTAGGGTGCTTTCAACCAGGGTCATGCGACTTCAGAAGATCAAATGATCATGAAGTCAATGTCGTTTAAAAACGCAAGAACTACTCTCATGTCAATAGTGGGGTCCTTGCTTACAAGTGAACGCAAGGGCAATCTACGTTGCATATGCCGGCTACAGGGACGACAGCACTCGGTGGCAAAGAAAGGGAGTTCCCCAGGGACATGGGTGACGGACAGCGCGTGACCACAGCGACGACATGCTGGTGTTTTCCCTGCTGACGGGAGGAAGCCCATGCGTCCCGTGTATGTGACCTACGCGGGTTCGGCACGGGCCAATTGCCTCCCTTCCTCTGATGCGATGAGAGGCCTGCCACTCGCCTAAGTTTGACTTGGTAGCGCCAAGCTTGCTCTGAGCGTTTCCACGGTCGTCAGCGCTCTTCCGATCCCTTGCCTTTTGCCAGTCTACCGCTAAGCGAGCTGACAGCATCTGCCTCAAGCCCGGGAATGGTTCGTGGCGAGGCATAGCGCCACTGCTTATTATATTTGGGAGTGAATGAAACCCGAATGTTGGTGACTGAAATAGGTTTGAGTGAGAGGACAATTAAGTTGGATCAAGCGATGACAACGAAGCACATAACCTTAGGCGGATCAATAGCATGAGGAAATGTAGTGCTGACGTTGCGTGAGGTTTCATCACATGCGTAAGGCTGTAAATAGTCCCAACATTTCGCAAACGTTCCAACCAAATAACATAACGAAATGGTGTAGCTTTTCAGCGGGATGCGTGCACGCAACATTGCTATGTTTTGTGCAATTCTGCAAGTTTCCATCATTCTTCTCTGAATTTGGCACTATGCACCTGTCTGCTGACCTCATGTCCGCTGGAGCGACCTTTGAGTCACATTGGGCGTAGATCTGTGACGTTGCAGTCGGGTGAATGTGCATGCAACATTGCGCACTATGCTGTTTTGCAACTTTTTCAAGATTTTTCTCTGTAGGCTCTTATGCCTTGCGGGGACAGGGGTAGTGATTTCAAAGCTCCACGCTGCTTGCTTTGGCCGTGAATAATATTCCAACATCCTGCACTTTTGCATAATTTTTTTAATCAATTTCTGTGGGTTGATAACTATGCGTTGATGACGTTCATTGAATCTGCCGGCTTGCAACGAAAACTTCACTTAATACCGTGCTGCAACCACGTGCCTCTTTCATAGCGACGCATCGGCAGCTCCTCCGCTCAGGGGTTAGATAAGGCTGAGATGAGGACATAACGACGCAAAGAGTTTGCTTGAGGGGGGGGGCTTCCCGTGCTACAACCGTCTGAAACGAGTCCGGTTATAGCACATCGTGCAGAGCACCTCGCCTCCGGCGTTTTGCCGGTGTCCGCCTTTTGATGGACTTCTGACGTCACGCCGTCGGGGGCAGCGACCTTTCGGCCGCAGCCAGCTGTTTTCGTGTTCACCGGAGGGTATCTCCATGGCGGTGACGTTCACGCTATGCGGCGGAAGCTTACATAACTAGATGGAATCCTCGATACCAGCGCATCAATCTGCTCCGGCCACGCCGCAGTGTGTGGTTTTCATGCCCTTCAGCGTGGAAATCGTCCTGTTCTTGCGGTGGCCGGCCAGCTGCCTCCGTGGTCGGTGCGCCGGCCCCGGAGTCTGGGCCTTGACGGCATCTTTGTTGCGATCCAGAGTGAGATTGTGACGGTGGGGCGGGGTAAAGATACAGTAGGAAACAAGCAAAAGAAAGACGCAAATGATAAAACCTAAAATGTCAGCTCCGCCTTACACTGCCTCTTGATAAGCTTTTGATCCGACACGAGGGATTCGGATGTTGAACTCTCCGCAGTCTTCAAGATTGGTGTTATGTAAATGGTGCTAAATTTCATTGCTCCTTTCCGACACGAAATGGGACAGATGGCTATTTAAAGATGGACAGATAACTATTTACTAGCACCTGTCAGCGACACTTCATGGCACTTTTATCAGGGGTATACTCAGGTCTAAGTGGTGTGGAGGGGAGCACAGTGAAACTTTCTGTCCATAATGTAGCCTCTTGATTCAACGTTTTGGTAGCAGCAAACTGCAGTTGTCAGCTGTTGTTCTAAAAACCCACCCGAATGCCACCCTCAACCTTATGGTCACTGCATTATAAAGACATACGTGGTCCGTTGTCTGCATTCTTCATTGGAACACAGAAAGTAACATTCTAAAGCAACAGACATGAAAGTATTTGGTAAGCTATATCGCGGAACTCGACATAGCGGAGCAACGCGGAGGTTTGAGCGCCAGAGAGGACCAGACCAGTTGTTGACCAGAGAAGCCGCGCTTCGACTCGAGCTCCGGCAAGTCCGACCGGGATCCGAACTTCTCCGGATCGTTTTCCCAGACGCGTCTGCTGCCTGCTCTACACCCCGCTAGAATCCCTGTGAGCAACAAGGCAAGTTACCGAAGTTCATCACAGTTGCCACAGCTTCCGGCATTTCGTCACTGCAACGCCACGCGATTGCGGGGCTCGGATACCGTTGCTGTCTGCCAACTTATGAGGTTTTTGCACTGCTGTACCATGTAGTCTATCTTGGGACACCGAATCGTCCGACTTTAGGTACTTCCGCTGTCTCCTGTCCACCCTCAGCTCTGCTTTGATATCTCTGGGTCTGCTCCACGGCAGTATGTTCTCACTCCCTGCTGTTGGTCGGCGAGCACCGTTTCCAATAAGTTCTCACGTTGCACCCCATGACCAGTCCCTTGTAACACAGAAGATTCGATTAGCAAACCTCTCAACCCATCTCGCTTGATGTAGAGCCCTTGGTCAGCTTCCAGCAGATTTGCTGGGAATGCGACTGATGCAGACTTAACCGCTTGACGCAGCCTGAGCGATACGACTGGTTTTTGTTCACATTCTGTCGTTCCAGATGGCTTTGCCGATTGGATGTGTTAGTTGGCCCACTAGTTTTACTAGTTTCACATATTTTTTAGGCTTACACTATGTTTGTATGAACAGTATCGAAAACATGCATCACGGGGAGTTCGTTAATGCCAATGCGGCATGCTCACTGTTGAACAGCCATGCTCTCATTCCGTCGATACCACTTTCATATCGGATAATAATCAATATTGTTCCATCGGAGCCGAGCAGAACCGAATCTGGATCCTCGTCACTGATGAAGTCGGTCAATTCTTTAGCCGCACAACTGTCCCTTCACTGTTAGTGGCGCGTATTCCACGCCTCAATGGCTTAATGCTGGTGCCATTGCCTCAGGTAATTGTTTGTCGGTACGGGTTTACTGCTCCTCTTTGTTAGGGCTCGGTCGTCCTCCGTCGCAAAAGCATCCAGGCATTCAATTACATCTGCTGGCTGTGGGGCTCTCTTCTACCTCCTTCTGTCGCTACTTGTCGATCTGTCCCCAAATCTTGCCGCGATCGACCAGCTGT